CCCCACACAGTCACATCAGTCTCTGTACAGAGGAGCTTACACTCTAATGTCCCCTCCCCCCCACAGTCACATCAGTCTCTGTACAGAGGAGCTTACACTCTAATATCCCCTCCCCCCACAGTCATTTATAATACTGAAGGGGAGGACGGATGTCAGATGGAAGACTGAAGGGAAGGACTGAGGTCAGATGGAAGACTGAAGGGAAGGACGGAGGTCAGATAGATGACAGAAGGGGAGGACGGAGGTCAGATAGATGACTGAAGGGGAGGACGGAGGTCAGATAGAAGACTGAAGGGAAGGACGGAGGTCAGATAGAAGACTGAAGGGGAGGACGGAGGTCAGATAAAAGACTGAAGGGAAAAACGGAGGTCAGATAAAAGACTGAAGGGAAGGATGGAGGTCAGATATGAGACTGAAGGGGAGGCCGGAGGTTAGATAGAAGACTGAAGGGGAGGCCGGAGGTCAGATAAAAGACTGAAGAATGAGGCTGGGGTTCACTTTAATAACTGCTTGCCTATTTTTAGAATCGGAGCTGAGAAGCTGCAGAGCTTTTAAGTCACGAGCGTGACGGTACACAGGCGTCCGGTGGGGTGACACGGGCAGTTAGGTGGGGGTAATGTTCTGCAGAGAAATGACTCCGGTCTAAAGACACTTTGTCATTTCAGCGGCCGGCTCCTTTTAATTAGCGGCGGGGTGGTGATCGATTCACCTCATTGACGCCCATCCACAATAAAGTGCCAACATTTATAATTAATGTGCCGGATGAAATGGAGGCCCTTGCGGTCCCGGAGATCCATTGACCCGCCATCAGCGAGCTCTTTGGCAGAGCGGAAAGCAGATGTCAGGGCCTTTTGCAGCGCGGAGTGCTCCGGAGCTCGGCGATAGCGGCCGTCTCTGCCGAGCGTGAAATGTCTCCGTTCTGGCGAAGTCACACATCGTATATCATCCATTTCCAGACACATAAATACGGAGCCCGGGCGGTGACAACGCTGCTCGGAGCTCCTGGAGTGTGTCTTCACATTACTGCAACCCACACAGGGGAACAATACAGCACACAACCACACGGAGAGACATGACTGAGGTAGCATAGGTGTCCCCATTCTTTTCCGCTACAAGCCCCCAAGACCACCCACCACCCGTCCTTATAATAACTAGACCACACTCCAAACTGGTATAAAATGGCCTTGGCAGCCGTTTAGTAACAACTTTGATATATAAAACATACTATATATAAACAATTATCAGAATTACCTGAACAAAGTTGCAGGTGTTTGAAGGCCGCACCTTTGATCCGTTACTTGCGGCAGTACTACAACCTGTTAGGCCCCCAGCCGCAACACACCGCCTCGGGGACAACCAACAACTGACCGCATACACTCCCAATATCAATAGATGCATAGAGGTCCCATACCAAGACAGGTCCCCCAAACCTTAACCACCAGCACCTATTATATGTTCCTATTTATTTACATTTTTTAAATCGTTTTTTTCATTAATTTCACTTATTTCCTATTCCGCTCGGTAACTCGCAGGTACTAAGCAGAATAGCCGAGGCGAATGCCGCCCCGCGGCATTCGGCTATTCACTCACTCACTGCCATTCGACCACTATGAGAATAGTGGGAAACAGTGAGCTGCCGGAGCTTGGGCTCAACCGATCCAGATGTTGGATCGGCTGAGTCGAAGTTCCTCTGCAGAGGATATTCGGCTGACCGAAGGCAGCCGATGTACGGCTGAAATCAGCCGTACTGAGCCGGGGTGAATGTCCGAACGTCGTTCGGCTCACTTCACTTCGGCTGCGCTATTTACTCGGCTTCCTCCTGCAGCTTTGTGAACAACCCCCTTTAGTTTCCAACAAAACAGTGCTACTGCCTTGACTCGCTGCGTGTAGGGAAAGAGCACTTGGGAGGTGTAGTTCCGGGGTTGTGTCTATGACAGTTGGAACTGAGCTTCCACCTGCCATAGGCAGCCGATGTAATGTTATCATTCTGTGCCGCTGGCTGCAGCTCTGCAGGTTCCTGATGACCTCCACGGCCAGAGTATGTAGTTCAAGTCCTGGGGGCACCTGAGTACCGGTAGGCACACGAGGGAAAGGTAGCATAACTATATACTCGGACCCGGGTGTGTGCATACGTGACCTCACACCCTCAGATACTCCAATGATGTCACAGGTAATATTAAGGATGTTTCTCAATACAGGAAAATAAATAAATAATCCCAGGCGTGATCTAGAAGGGGGAGGGGGAGCTGTCGGAAAAGGTAAAAAGACATTGACACAAAGTAATTCATTCTCTGTGTGATCACCAATTGCACGCCGATCTGGACGTGTTACAGTGAAAGGAAATTGTTTTTTGGAGTATTCCTTTAAGAACATACAGAATGGTTATTGTATCTTTTTGGGGGGAAATGTGATAGAATGGAAAACCGCATTACGGCGCAGACAGGAAATGTTATTCTCACAGCAGGAAAACAGAGGACCAAAATCTTATTATCACTGAGCGCTCCGTGTAACTGCGAGTCACAAACAAGGTTTTCTGTGTGAAGAGAACTTTCGGGTTTTTTTTTACATTTAGGAGGGAAGAAAACACAAAGCGTCTCGGGGAATTTTCCACATTCCGGATTCACTGACATTTACCCGATTTGTGACATAGTGAATGTGATGTCACTGGATGTTCAAAGCAATAAAAGTTCAGTGAATGATTGAAGTACAGTGGAAGTGGTGAATCTGAGGGCTGTGTATGTATGATACAGCACCGGAGGTGAAATGTTCTAATTGTCTATTCCTAAAATTATAATTTCTCTATGTATAATGAATCTAATATACCTCTAAAAATGTGTATCTGATGTTCTTTGGCTTATATATACACAACATGGCCAAACGTAGGTGGAGTTCCTTCTCAGCAATTGAGTTCAGGTGCCTCCAGTGAAGGGTTCTGTTAATACTCCATCATACGAAGACATTGTAGACAATTGCGCTCTTCCAGCCTTGTGGTCACAGTTTGGTGAAGACCCTTTTATGTTCCACCATGACTGTCCCCCGTGTACAAAGCCAGCTCCATAAAGACATGGTGTGATCAGTTTGGTGTGGAGGAACTCGAGTGTCATGCACAGAGCCCTGACCCCAACCCTACTGAACATCTTTGGGATGAATTGGAGATTGCGTGCCGGGTCTTCTCATCCAACATCAGTACCTGACCCTGCAAATGGGCACAAATTCCAGCAAACACTTCAAAGTCTTGTGGAAAAGCTTTCAAAAACAATGGAGGAAGGTATAACTACCAAGGAAGGCCAAATCCATATTAATGGCCATGCTTGTAGAATGGGAGGTCTTCAAAGCCAGCTCCATAAAGACATGGTTTGAACGGTTTGGTCAAGGAAGCTGGAAGTTGAGTGTCCTGCATAGAGCCCTGACCTCAACCCTACTGAACACCTTTGGGATGAAATGGAGATTTTGATCCCGGTTTTCTCATCCAACATCAGTACTTGTGGGAAGCCCTCCTAGAAGAGTTGAGGCTTTTTTAGACACAAAGGGGGACAACTCTATATTAATGGCCATGGTTCTGGAATAGAAAGATGAATTTGGGAGCCAGGTCTTCTCATCCAACATCAGTACCTGACCTCAAAAAAATGGGACATATTTCTAGACACCCTCCAAAACCTTGTGGAAAGTCTTCCCAGAAGAATGGAGGATGTAATAGCCACAAGGGGGGGGGGGGGCAACTCCATATTAATGGCCATGGAGGGCCAACTCCATATTAATGGTCATGGAGGGCCAACTCCATATTAATGGCCATGGAGGGCCAACTCCATATTAATGGCCATGGGGTACCAACTCCATATTAATGGCCATGGGGGACCAACTCCATATTAATGGCCATGGGGGACCAACTCCATATTAATGGCCATGGGGGACCAACTCCATATTAATGGCCATGGGGGACCAACTCCATATCAATGGCCATGGGGGACCAACTCCATATTAATGCCATAGGGGACCAACTCCATATCAATGGCCATGGGGGACCAACTCCATATCAATGGCCATGGGGGACCAACTCCATATTAATGGCCATGGAGGGCCAACTCTATATTAAAGGCCATGGGGGACCAACTCCATATCAATGGCCATGGGGGACCAACTCCATATTAATGGCCATAGGGGACCAACTCCATATCAATGGCCATGGGGGACCAACTCCATATCAATGGCCATGGGGGACCAACTCCATATTAATGGCCATGGAGGGCCAACTCTATATTAAAGGCCATGGGGGATCAACTCCATATTAATGGCCATGGGGGACCAACTCTATATTAATGGCCATGGGGGACCAACTCCATATCAATGGCCATGGGGGACCAACTCCATATCAATGGCCATGGGGGACCAACTCCATATTAATGGCCATGGAGGGCCAACTCTATATTAAAGGCCATGGGGGATCAACTCCATATTAATGGCCATGGGGGACCAACTCTATATTAAAGGCCATGGGGGACCAACTCCATATCAATGGCCATGGAGGACCAACTCCATATTAATGGCTATGGGGGAGCAACTCTATATTAAAGGCCAAGGTTTTACAATTGGATGTCCAACAAGCTCACATAGGTGTGATGGTCAGACATCCACCAACCTTTGGTTGGATAGTTTATAAACGAAAAACTACTTCTTCATTTACACCAAGTTTGGTCTGTTATCCAAATCAATTTAGTAAATTTTCAAAATGTTCCCCTTTATTTCTTTCTATCTCACTTAATTTACATAAAATGTGCACTTTTATAGGTTTTATATGATTTTTTGCCTTATAGCAATTGTTATAAAGGCAAAAAAAAGCACACAGGTTCTGACATGGGGGGTGCAGAGAGCACGCAGGGCCTGACATGGGGGGTGCAGAGAGAGTACACAGGGACCCATAGATCACACGGAAGGATCCACTCATCACACATTGAGGGACCCATTGATCACACGGAAGGATCCACTCATCACACATTGAGGGACCCATTGATCACACGGAAGGATCCACTCATCACACATTGAGGGACCCATTGATCACACGGAAGGATCCACTCATCACACATAGAGGGACCCATTGATCAACCACGCAGATCAGATGACTGATTGTACATTCCCCGGTTCTTCATGTAACGTGTTTTATAGAGCTTGCTGCTTTTACTTTAATGTCTAATAATACTGATCTTTGTCACAGCAATCAATACTATTTTAGTGTTCTTTTTCTTTTTTCTCCGGCAGACTTTACGGGGGACCTTATTTAGCCGGCAGGTTTTTCCAGGCCGTCTGTAAATTTCTGGAACCCGACGTCTTCCGCGCAGGGTCTGGAGTGGGGCCAGCTAGCCCGTGACATTCATCTTTCTGCCGTACTTGGAGTAACGCGCGCTACGCCTTGGCTGCAGCCGGCACCACAGCGGGGGCACGGGCAAAAAATGTTCTGGCAAACGCCATCTATCGATCTGCAGGTCTTTAGCATTCCTTTTGCCTCTCTTCCTGCCAAGAAGCCATTAGAGGCTCGCGGTGCTTTTCTGATGGAAAATTGCTGACAATTAAAAGGAGGTTTAGGAGAGATAAATGACACCAGACCCGCAAACTCCTCTGTTTCTAAACAATTTTTTTCTTACTGGACCCAAACCGACTTTAACCGCTTGAGTACCGGCCTGTAACACCCCTTCATTACCCGGCCAGTCTTCAGTTCTCAGCGCTGTGATAGTTTGACTGACAACTACTCCGCCATATAACATGTAGCCAAATTAAGTTTATATATAATATACCAAAAGAGTAACCCCCTCCTCCCCCCCTCCCAATTGTTTAATTTAGTTTATTGCATATCAGGGGCATAACTAGAAATCACAGGGCCCCATAGGAAAATTTTGTATGGGGCCCTGTGATTTCTAGTTATGCAACTTGCAGAGCCCACCTGATATCCCAAATAGCCCACCTGAGAGTGACCCTGCAGAGCCCACCATAGACTCTCTATGGTGGGCTCTGCAGGGTCTCAGGTGGGCTGC